GGGGGCGGGGAGGCGACCAGGGGCACGGCAGGTCGCTCAGACGCACGCCCACAGCGCGAGGAATGCCGGAGCAACGCAGCTGCGCGGACGAAGAATGCGGAACGGGGCAGCGTGGCGGCTAACCAGACAATTCAAAAATGCTCCCACGTCACGAATATCTCCAGCGTGCGCCAGAAGAAAAAAAAATTCTCGCTATCCCACGGAAAGACTGAACCAACAGCTATCGGATCGCCATCTCTAAAAATGCCTACAGTTCCTACTGAATTAATGTTTAAAGATTATATTGTCTGAAAGCGTCGAAGATGAACTCCCAGCAATTAATTACATCACTTTATTTCTGCTTCTTATAAAGATTTCCCTGACAAAAAAGAATTTTATAATAAAAAAATCCTAGCGAGAACTTCCTATCACATTCCACAACGGTGAAGTTCAAAGACAATAATACTCTAGAACTTAGCATCGCCTGTTTGGGAATAAAGTGTTTTCATATTTGTAATCAGAGGCGCCCAGAGGGTGAGGCAGCTAAGACCTATTGTCTCAGGCTTCCAATTAATTGGAGCCTCGGAAATTTATACAAAAATGGGCCCCTGGTTTGGCCCCCCCTTTGGACACCCCTGTTTGTAATGATAGTTGACGCATTTTGAGTGCTTCAGCAAGACATACAAGTACTAGTTTTCCTACGCTGTCTGTCAGGAACATTTACCCCAAAACTTTCTTCAGAGGCGAGATAGCATCTGGGCGCTGAACGCTCAGCAGCACGTGGCAGCGCGGGGACAATGAAGGGCGAGCGGCGGTGACGAGGAGGCCCATCGGAGAGCGCGGAGGGGGGCGTGGCCGGTCGTCGCGGGTGCAGTTGAAGACAAAGCGATGCGACACAGCGACATCAGAAGGCGGGTACTCAACCAAGAATATTCCCGAACACAAAAGCACAGCATATTTTATAAGCGTGAGAATATAAACTCAAGGGAAAACCAGGCGACAACATAACCCGTGTAGTTCTAGCAATAACTACACGTTTGATGAGGAGATACAACAACTTTGACGTTCATGCGGTAAAAAATATTCACGTGAACTTAATTACTTTCTCGCTCGCACGCACGCACGCACATTATTTGCAACGTCATTTCCCAGCTAAACCGTCTTCGACTTGTTGTGTATGAGCTTTGGTATCGAAATAAAATTATTTTCTCCTTTTTAATATAATATGTAACCACGTGTAATGGTTCAACACCGTAATTAGCAAACAAATGTGGCCCACGAGAGATAAGGGAATAACCAGCTCTGTCCTCCATTTGTAACAGCTTTGCATCACAAACCACGTTGAGAATTGCTAGCATTGTAAAGCCATTTGAATGATTTTTAGCACCTGGACGGTCTTTTTTTCATTTTTTAAGCAGTAGCCTGTCTTTTTAAACAAAGGAAATATATTTTAAAACAACTGACAGTCTGTGTAACCATTTTCATTAGTTCACATTCTACTTTGTTCCGACTATCATAACACCAATTCACAAGTTATCATTCCATCCGACCTACTCTTCTCCTTCCTTCAGGTATTCTGTCTCTTGCCGACTTTATCAGTCTGTCTTACTCCATCCTGTCTATATGGCTATTTCATTGTATTCTTTCACGAATCCAGTCTGATACGACGTCTATCTACGGCGTTTTATTTACTATTTTTCTTAACATTCTCATCTCTGATACTTCCATCATTTGGCATTTTTTTCTTGGAGTCTGATCTGATTTCGGCTGCTCATGACAGTATGGATCTAATTACTGCCAGCTTCTTTTTTAAGATAAGCTTAAACCATACTGCATGGTTGAAATATCCTACTATTCTATTTGCTTTTATAGTTTATTCTATCGTCTCACTTAGAGATCAGCAATCACTAGTTATCACTATGCCTAAATGTTGGACGGTAACATGTTTTATTCCCTTCGGTGGTAGCATTTTCGGGTGCAGGCTCCCGATTTCCAACTGTCTGCCATGAAAGCACGCTATTCAGAGATAAGCCAAACTAATCAAACATGACTTTCTACGTTCCCTACACGGTACAGTGTTTCGCGCGTCCGTCGCCGGAAGTGAACGGGCGTGAATGTGCTCGTTGTGCTGTTGCAGGGGAGGCGCGTGCGGGTGGCGCGTGGAGCGTGGCTCGCCGAGGGAGCTGCGCCCAGCGCCCTCTATGACGGAGCGGCGCACAGGAGCAGGCGTCACGAACACGGGATGGACGCTCGCCCCGCGGGGGCCCTCGCCGCACCGTGAGGTGAGAACCAACCCCATCCCTCTTTCGCACGGGTTCTTTCTAGCAAGGCCATTCTGTTAGTATTTGGACTTTATGTCACTTACAAACAACACTATTTACAATACCTCTAACAATCTATTTTTCCTCCAGTCATCGTTAATTCCTATTGCTCTAATACACTTATTTCAGGCAATTCACAGAAAACACGTCATTCAGTTAATTGATTAACAATTAAGAATCAACACATTGATGAAACCGAAATAACCAGTCAACTACGTTCTGCAGTTCTCGCACTAGTTAAGAATATGGTAAAAGCCAGGTAAAGCTCGTCGCTTTCTCCCAAATAATGCATGACATTTACCTGTTTCTACACTCAAGGACGACAGGTTAAAACAAGCAGGAACGTAACTTAATATAATGAGCTCATTATTTAACTAGGAAAGGCATTGATCTCGTAACACTTATAAATGATTGCCGGCGCACTATGGAGACTACTTTTCCTCGAAGAAACGCATGGTTGTCCATCAGGCGACAATTCTTTCAAGAAGATACCAAAAAGAAGAATCTCTTGACAGATATTAATTTAATCGTTGATGACATCACTTTGAATAAGAGGAAATTCTCTTGGAACTGCAGTTTTTACCCGGCTCTTCACAGATATATTAGAAGTTTACTTGCGTTTAATGTAAGCTGAAAACCAAGGCGAACCCAGAGGCGGTACGCCTCCTCTAAAAGCGCAAATCTCACCACATTTCTCAAGTCTCTCATTAGCTCTCCCCCACACCAAACGCAAATACTCCGGCGTTGCTGCTGGGCTCGGCAAGTTGATTCTAGCGCCATCGCCGCCCACCCGGCCGTCCCGCTCGTCCGTTCGCAACTTTCTCTGTCGAGCGCGCACTCCGTCAGCCAGCTTTTGTTGACTCGCGGTTGCAGTGACGACGGGCGGGCGGGCGGGCCGGGCGGGCGGGCGGGCGGGCAACGGCGGCGACGTTCGTTTAGCTCCACCTCCCACCCCTCACCGTTCCCGCTCGTCACACCCCACCCCGCCGCCACACCTCTTCACCACACCCAGCACAGCAGCCGCAGCGTACCCCGCGCCAGCCACGACGCTCAATTAGCGAGCAAACGAAGCGTGCGAGACGCAGGCGCGTGTGCGGGAGATACGAGCGCCCGCCTCGCCACCTGCCCGGCTGCTTTGCCGCACGCCACGCCCACCGCCAGGATCACGCGTCACGATTTCCCACAAAAAAGTACGAGCATGTGGCTGACACGGTTTCTCCAGATGCAAGCCGGTTACAAGTTGTCTTTCCTACCACCATGTTCAGGTGTAGAAGTGCGCAGGTGCAGATCACTCATATCTATGACATCACAGTAATTTGTTAATCTTGTTGAAATCAACACGTATTGTAGACTTGACAATTATTTTTGTTAAAAGTTGATATTTTTGCCAAATATTAATATCTCTTTTAAAAGATACATATAATTTTCAACATGCTATGAGATTGCACAATGATAAGGAGAGAAGTGTAAGCACAGTAGAGATGAAACTTTTAGCGAAGCACACTATTTCTTACACCGAAATAATAGATTAGCAATATATCTGTATACAAGTAGCTTGTACCAAAAAAGATTTAGCAAACCGAATCAAAATTCTTTGCCAATAAAGATGAAAAAATCCATTTCCTTCATACATACGTCCTAATGGGCGATATGAAGTGTTCTTTAAAATGTTTGTTATCAATAAATTTAAATTAAACGAGAGATTCGAAAACTTTCGCACGTCAATCGCCATTTCACATATTGTTTGCAACATCCAGAATCATTCAACATAATAAAATATACAAGATGAATCGAATTTTAAAAACTTTTTCATTTTACTACAAAAAGTATATTTTGAAGTCTAGAATTGTTGTATTTACATATTAATTTCGGCAGTGTGAATGCTACGTATAAAACCCAGAGTTAGCGTGATATTATACTTATAAGTGTAAATACGTTATTTTTATCACTCAATGCTTTTATGAGAGGAAGGCCAACAAGGTCAACGAGAACAACTCGCCGTTGCCGTTCTTTCCTCGTTCACTTCGGGTGAATCTCCCGTCTTCGCGGGCGCCAGCGCACTTTCACGTTGCGCCTCCTCGGCGGCTCTTCTGTAGCATCGCCCTGCACAGCCACTCCAGCCAAATCCCTCTTAGAGGGGCGAAACTGCTTCTGGGGCGAAGCTTGCGATTCTTCGGAGTTGCACTTCAGAACAAGAGAAGAAATCGCTCAACACTGGACCTATGTCAAACTCTGGATACTTTCCACACTCAATTGTGATGTATCTATTGCACCACCTTTAGCAGGCGAAGAGGATGCCGAATGAGGTTAAGAGTGCGTGAGGGCGCAGATGGCCTTTGGGCTTCTTCCGCGCTCTTTCACAAGGTGTCCTCGGAGCCAGAGCGAGTGTGTCGGCCCTGCAGCGCGATGGGGGTGGGGTGGGATGGGGGTGGGGGGTAGTGGGACGCTCATCTGCGCACGTGACGCAGCGTGGCCTCCGCCAGAGCAACCCACCTCCATCCCCCACCACTCTCACTCCATCACCCCTTGGCCCGGCGCGTTCCCCAAGTATTGCTATTGAGTTATGTCGCAAAGACATACATTGACAGAAACGAAAATAATACATTGCGTTATGAGAGTTTCCACATTCCTCTCCAGCAAATCGGCAACTATTTAATTTTGTCTTAGACAAATAGAAGGATGAAAATTCCTTCTTAGAAAGTTTTAAGGTGCTTTGTCCATCAGGATATTTTGCCCTGTATTTAAATTTATAAATATCGCCAAAAAATATTGCGTGAAAAACTTAATATTTAAATTAAATTGCAAATGTGAGTTTTAAAAATTAAAGGGCTTCGTAGTCCAAAGAGCTATCCCACATTTCTTGGGAAATTGAGTAATTATCATTACGCAAACTTCAAATTTTATTTTTCAGTATAATATATCATTTAAATCCAGAATGCACTTGTATGCAAAAGTACTTTCTTTAAAAGTTTTAAAATGTACTTAGTTCAATGAAGTTTACATAAAACTCTCATTATCTCACAGCTATGCCAATGTGGGATTGCTCCTTCAACTGAGCCCTTCGATTACAAAGACTTTCAAAGAATTGATTGGCCCAAAGCACTGACAAGTAAACTTGAATTTAGAGAACGGATCCAAGAACACGAGTATTTTTAAAAAGGATCAAGATGAGAGGAAATGAGCATACGATGAATTACGACAGGTAATTAGCGTTATTCTGCCAGATACAAAAAAATAACTGGATGATGTGAATGAATGCAGGCAACACGCTACATGGACAATACAGACCGGGATGACGTCGTGATTGGTTACAGTAGGAAAAACCACTCTTGCACCAATCGCGACCCCCGGATCAAAGGAATGTTTGGCTTCAAGGAAGAGAACTTCAAAAGTCCAGGAGACAAACGCAACAAAGAGGCGCACATACCCAACAAGATATTAATAAAAACATAAAAAGTATGTAGCGGCGGGCTACTGCACATGTTTACAAAAGACTGGAACTTTGAAACACCTTGATTGAAAATCACACTAAGTACGAGACAATGCAAGTAATTCAGAAGAGTGTAGGAAATAACATAATTAGTGAATGACGAATTCTTGTTCAACATTTTTCTTATAAACAATCTTAAAACGTAAAAGTCTATAGTAGTAACCTCTTCGACATTTTTTTCCGGTGAAAAAGAGTACATCTCATCCTAACGTTACATTAAAAAAGCAAAATGTACGAAAACTGACGAAAGTAGAGGAAACTGACTTTGAAACACAATGGACATTTGCTAAGGACAACAAATCCAACAATGTCAACATTCCTACCACGAAAACAGCCAAATTAAGATTTTTCACTGGGCAACTCTGAATTAGCTCCTTCAAGATGATCTTTGCTGACTACCGAGCGGAAAAGTCAATGACCGTCACGCACCAGGGGGCTGAGGTGAGAAAGTGAATCTCTCCCTTCAACCGAAGCGAAGAAAAGGGCACTGCGAACTTCCGATGTGTATTTAAACTTTTTAAGCGTTGTCGAGTCCAATGACACCGAGTGGCAAAACTTCTGGTGAAGCCTAGATCAACTTTAGGACACAATCACTCGCCAAATTATTCACCTATTTTGCATTATGCACTTAATTGTTTTCAAAGTAAATAATAAACTGACCAGGATAACTTTTTTACTGGTAATGGGAAACGAAAGCTTGCTTTTTTACCTTTTTGGTACCGATTTCCAATCACTTCACCGACATTCTTCTCACAAAGGTACTTCAAATAATTGCAATTTTTTTAGACTGAATACAGTGTAAATACATAAGCATGTAAGCATAATTTATATCCCATACACGTCTACAATGTCTTTCAATACTCAACCACATGCAATTAACCACAAGCATTTAATCTCCCTTTTATTTTTGAAGCATTTTTCTGTTCCAGTTGATGTCCTGATGGAAGTCCACATTCGTTGCCCAACGCTAACATTTACACCTCATCCGAAACCCAAAATCAATTCATCGACAAGTAATTTTTTGCTCATTTATAACAAAATTCTGAATTATCGACAAGCAGATACTTCTAGCAATTTAACGTTTAAAATTGATTTAAAACGTTCTTTGATTTAAAAAGATTTGAAATCTGATTTTCATTTAGCTTCAGTGAAAATTGGGAAAATACTCTACAAAATCAAAAACAATTTATTATTTTACTAGCCATATTGCGTTATCACATTTCATAAGAAATCTACAGTTTTCAACGAAAAATGTTACAATTTAAATTGTACTAATTGAAAGAACAAATCCTAATTCAATTGGATTCAAAAAACATACTATTGATTACTATGACTACTGAAAATCGTTATTGCGATTGCTAACCCACCCAATAATAAGATGAAATCAGCAATAGCAATCGTTAATTGTTAATCAAAAAATGATCGTGTTTTCATTTGAATATTGATAACTGTATTACATATCATTGAGCAA